GCTCCAGTATGGCTCTCATGTGCTGTCAGATTCTGATGAGTAAACTTTGTGGGATGTTTGTGTGACTCTTGTTCCATAAACACTGAAAGCTTTTAAGACTAATACAAGGGAAATAATTGAGTTATGAGATGAAGGGAAAGCAAAAGTGATCAAAAAAGGGACTAAGTGAAGCCGCTAATTAATACTCCTGATGAGAGGTTTTGCCAGATTAACTTTTTTTAAGGAAGCTCATAAATCACCCAACTACCTATGACAGTTTTAAGTTATTTTAACTGCATAAAGAGCTCCAGATTACTTTCTAGCCAAAACAGAATGGGATAATCTCAGTACAAATATAAAATGGCTTAAGGAGGCCCAAGGCAAACAAAAGCAGTGGGGAATGCAAGAATGATCAGAGGGAAAGAGAATTACAGTAAGTATAAGGATCAGACAGAAACAGAGATGTTCTGCAGGTTAAGGAGTCCCTGAGGTGCTATATCTGCGCTCTGCAGACAGCATTTATTGCCCATCTGCTCATGTATAGTTGTAGGTAGGTATATATGTATGAACAGCACATGGACACATGCACGTGTACATATGAGTGTGTGTGTGCGTGTGTGTGCAGGTTCTTACTGTTGGTTTCTTGCCCTCCTTGAGCACAGTCTTCCGCCTCAGCACTCCCTGCACTGTGACCGCTCCGGGATACAAGTGAACTGCGAGCTCTTCGGACTCCGCTGAGCTACAACAGGACAAAGACAAACATTACAAGCTATACACACCAACATTCACACAGGAGAACATGCATGTACTCATGCATGCACACATAACAGATCAAATCACAGATGAACTAGTAGTAAAAAAACAAAAAGGCAGATGCAATCTGAAAAGCCACCTTAAAACTACATCTTTGCCCATCTTGTTTTTACAGAAGTGAATTTCACAGATATAAATCTAAACACTGGTATCTCAGAGAGAGGAGCAGAGACGGACAAGGTGGTGTGCAGATTGTGTCTGTCTGGAGGATCAGAGCAGGAAGCCCAGTGCAGGAGCCCAGTGAAGCCTGGTGGAAAGAGAGAGAGACCCATCCCTAACCGCAAGGGACGCTTAATATGCAACGTCCGTGAGAATTGTCTTTAATAATCCTGAAGAGTCTGTTCCTCTCTACCTCAGGAATGAGGATGTAACAGTTTGTTTCCAGTAACACATGAAGCTGAGTGTGACTTTGGAAACTCATTTTTAGCTCCAACCTGTCAAAGATGTTGGAACTTATCAAGAGACGATATCTATGTTGACTATGAGCTCTCTGTGTGTATGTATGTGTGTGTGAGAGTGAGGCAGACATGCAAGAAGATTAATAAGGCAAAAAAGGTAGATTATAGACTGATGGTACGCAGCAAAAGATGAAGAATCATGACCCCAAACCGATCCTTTGCCCATCACCTGATTCAGGATTCCGCCAGCACACACACACACACACACACGCACACACGCACGCTTCCCACCACAAGATTATCCCAGCACTACACACACACTGCACCAGCAGCAGGCCCCTTGCAGGGATAAAGTGAAGTGAGGATAAGAGAGGGTTTGTTTGAGGTCAGGCTGGTTTTCCGGTCGGGGCGTGTGTACCTGCTGGGCCTCAGGACTCCTCTGTAGGGGATGCGGGCCACACGGGTCACTGGGCCCAGAGAATGATAGAACCGAGTCCTGTTCAGGATAGGATAAGACAGGATAGGATAGGGGGCACGGGACACTGTTAGGGCTGTGTGGGTGTTTTTTTTTTTTTTTTGTTGTCTGTTGTTTGTTTTTCCCTTCAAATTGCATTGGTTAGGGCTAGATGGAGGAGCGGTCATTTGGTTAGAAGAGTTATTGATGAAATGTGTGTTTAAAGGGTCATTCAATAAATAGGTTAAAGAAATAAGGTTAATGATTTTCAGGCCAGTTGAATCTTGAGCTGTGCATCTTTATTTCAGAACTAGTGAATGTGGCTGCAAACACTTGGCACAGTGGGACTACTGGTTAGGGGATTTAAATGTTAAGCACTTAATACATTTCAGGCTGCTGAAGAAACAGAAGCATCTGAGAGCAGCAGTGGAGGGATGAGGTACGATGGCTCTGGTTGCGAGGCTAAAAAGCGAGGCTGGGCATGGCATTTGTGTGTGTGTGAGCTTTAATGGCGGATCACTGCGCATAGCTGTGTCTTGAGGCCAGAGCTTTGGAAAAATCATACAATCACATCTGGGATGGGGATATTTTTATGATCTTACATGTGGATGTGATGAAAAAGCTCTGCAGACATGGACGTATTAACCTTACCTCTCAAAAGCTGGCCAAGACACCTCTTCACTGAGCTCAGAGCCCTCGCTGCTCCCTGTTTACAGAGACACATCATCACAAAAAATACACAACATGTGGTTGAAGATACAAACTGTGTGTGATATTAAGTATGCATGTGAAAGTCTTACCAAGTGAAATACCGCTGGACAGAGTTGAGCTCTCTGCTTGTCCCCTGGTGGGACTGTGGCTCTCCATCACACTGTCATCTAACAGATGGCGAGAACCAGCATTGGGGAACGTAGCGCTTTTAAACTCTACTGTATTCATCTTATGGATGAAACTATATGGACACCGAAGCCAGCAGAGAAGGAAAAATAAGGAGAGGAGAACAAAGAAAGAGGTAAGTATTCTTTGCTTTCTTGACATTGTTTTTCAAATTCTGATTTATTGATTTAATTATGGTTTTCAGGCCATCATCTTCATTATTAACACAAAAACTGACTTGTAGCCCAGGCTGTGGCACTTCCTGTGTCCGTAGGGCAGCAGGTTCCTGGGGGAGGGCGGTGTGGCTGGGACTTTGGTTCCTTCAGCTGCTATCATACATTTACGGCCGCAGAGAGGAGATGCTGAGGCCTCCTGGCCTGTAGGTAAGAGTGGGTGGGAAGGACAGATTTATAGACCAGGAAGAACAGAAACAAAATGAGATGATGAACAGGTATAATTCTACATTAAAACACCCAACTGACCGACAAGATCCTCTTTGGAGGCGTTTGCGCGTGGTGTGCTGGTTCCTGGCTCAATCTTCTGTGACAACCTAAATAAAGAACAGTCAGCTTGAATTGTGAATTTCCCATCAGAAAAATAATTATGGGGAAGGAAGTTTTTTTGGGAAACACAGATGAGGCAGCAAGCAATAAAATCAGAAACAGGATAAAAAAATCCTGGCAGGAAATTGCTCCTATGACTAAACCAGAAATTATGCTTGGTGTCCATCTGAGTTGGCCAACAGTTGCTACAGAGTATTCTGTAAGTTTTGTTTCTTACTTGTAATTGTCGTCCTCCACAAACTTCTGCAGCTCCTCAATATACCTGACTGAGTTGAGATACTTCTGTACATGAGGCAACACTGGTATATCTGAAATGGGGAAGATGATGACAAACATGAACATAAATTTGTTTATGTGAACCTTATGTGTTACTAAAACTGCCAAGATATGGAGGCTATAAAGTATGTCTGGATGTCTGAGGATAACAATTTACTAATAATATGAAACTATTTGAATATCTACTACCCATATGCTGGGGGACCTGTAAGCTGTAGCACTGAATAATAAGCAAGAACAGCAAGACTATAGTGAAACCAGTCCAAAACATGTGGAGAATAGGGTATTGTGCCTCCTCATCTGGACTTGGGTTTTCTTTTTCCCCCCACAAATTAAAAATAGGAAATTTCCTACAATGGTTAGTTTTGAGTGCAAATTAAGGAAATTAATGAGTATACTTAATGAATAGCAAAGATTCTTTCATTACATCTCCATGGCAACAGAACAATAGCGACCAAGGCTATGATGGAGTTTTGCTCCAGCCTTTATACTGATTTATTCCTCCTTTGTGTTCATTTTTGTTCCTCCATGATGGAGATAATCACATGTCAGAGTACGGTGAGGACTTGGAGTTTGGACAGATCAGCTGACCTCCTCACAGATACATTAGCTAGGTGGATGTTGGTCTGGGTCCTCTAGTTTTTCCTGTCCCTATCCCACACTGCCATCCCACGAACGTGTGACTGTGAGTGAGTTGTGTATCTAAACGTACCGTAGGTACAGGATCTCTGCAGGTCCGATATGATTCTGAGAATGTTGTTCATCAGGTTTGATCTCTGCTCGTTCTCCAGTATGCTGCCCGTGGAGGGATAGGCCGAATCTATATACGTCAGATCAGACAGGTACATCCCTGAAACAGAGCGGCAGACAGAAAAAGATTTTACAGCAAACTGGGAGAAATACACAGCCCTCTTCCCTCACCCTTTACTGAGACCAGGGCCCCAGTGCGAGCCAAATGAGGACAGCGTCCATCTGTTGGAGGTGTTACATTAAGCACAAGTGGGGACCACAGGGATTTTCCTGCTTGCTCATTAGAAAGCAAACACTTAAGACACAAACAAGGCTGGACATCATAATAGGCCACATTTCCTTGGATGCATGATGCAAGTGCCATGCAGCTGTGAATTTCTTGGTGTGAGGACCAGCTGGTAATCGCAGAATGCTTGTTTGAAAACAGAGAGAAACAAGAACCATGCACAAACTGTCATATCTGCATAAACTTTGCTCCAGTTTCAAACAACTTTTTGCCCTGATCTGCTCCCCACAGATCTAAATGAGTGCCTTGAGTGGATGACTTATCTTCTCTTCAAGGCCATCTATCTTTCACCCCTGTTCCCTCTCTCCATGCCTCTTTTTGGCAGACTTGGAGGCTGAGATTCTTAGTCTCTCATTACATAAATATTAACATGAAGAGACAAACCCAGGAGCAGCTTCCCACCACTCTGAAAACGGAGATTAACAAGCTTCAGAAGTGAACTGTTGGTGTGCTTTTCCTCCTTTCTCTCTTGCTCAATGTGTCTTTCACACGCCAACGTCAAGATTGAGTGCAGATGTAAGAAAAGTTATCACACAGTAGACTACATGACACCCCACATCCCCCTTTCCTTGGAAAACAGTGCAAGATTCACAGATGTGTGCACATACACAGCCATTTATAACACTGTGCATGCAGAGTCTAAACACAGATGCATAAATAAGCAATGACAACACAACTGCAGGACCAAATCCAGTAGATAAAAGGGCCAAAACCTCATCTTCAGGATACCATATAAACACACAAACACAACACAATCTGATTAGAATAAGAGAGAGAGGGGCACTGAGTGCAGGAGTTACAGGTCACAAGTGTTTGGAGAAGCAGCTGTAAGGGGGAAAAGTGAGAGATGGGGAGAAGAGGAAGAAAGGGATCCTGAAGGCTTAACCGCTGTAGCTGCTCTTCTGAAAGCTTGTCAGGGATAACAGCAGTTAGTCATGCACAAATCCATACTGCCTGGAACACCCACAGACAGATGCATGCTCAGAGGACCGGCGGTTAGCGTAGACAGACACTTTACATGTGGCAAAACTTGGATGAAAAGAGGATCCTGTTGGGAAGGAGGGAAGAAATGGGGTCACAACGTATTGGAGAAAACTTAATCTTCTATCTGCTCTTTTAAGCCAGTTATCTAAATAATATCTTTTAAATATTTCAGCACCGAAAAAACAAAACAAAAAATAAACATATCTGTCCATGTCTTACACACCTAAACACAGTAAAGTAAATGACAGCAGCGATAAGGAGCAGGTAAAGACCAGACAAGCTCAGACTACACCTGGAGCAAGGATTTTGCTCCAATAACAAATCAGTTTTATCTGCCTTCCTTTTTCTCTGGCTCTCACAGCTGAAGCTCAACAGGAAGCTGCTCCAAAACCTCGGCAGCATTACAATCAGCTCTTCCCAGTGCTAAAGGAGAAGGCAGGAGGGGAGGGGGATTGCGGGTTGTAATCAAAGAAGTAAGGGTCAAAGCAGCTCGTGTCTGAGCCCCAGACTCAGCAAAAACACTTCTGAATTCAAACAAGTCTTGTTTCCTTTCACTCAGCTCACTTCTTCTATACAAGAGCAATGAAGGTCATTGTTGAGGATGGGAAACTTAATGAGGCGACACTGTTATTCTCTTTTTCTGTCTTTTTTCCCCCATCAGAGTGACATCAGAGGTAGGCTGGGCCACTCAAAAAAAAAAAAAGAAAAAAAAAAAAAGAAAAAGGAGGCAATCTCAAACTCCCACACCCTCATCCCCCTTCTCCTCCCCCTCTCTTCCTCCTTCCCCTCCCTCTTTCTAGTCTCCCTCATCCTTTGTGAAAAACTCAAGGCATCAGTCGTCAGAGCTCAGTCTGTTGAAGTGGCCGGCTATTGAACCATGCCCCAGCCCAAGCCCCAGGACAGCTGAGGTCCACAGGGAGGAGCACATCTTTGAGGAAGTAGGGCCTTGGCAAAACCTTATGTTGTGATTTTCAGCTGCAGGACAGAAGGAGTGAGTGGAGGGGAGCACCTCAGAAGACTGGGACAGAGAGAGAGATGAGTCCTGAGCACTGCAGCTCGGTGAAGACACAATACAATACACAGGTGAAACTATAACTGCAGGAAACACACCCTCACTACTGGTAACAAAAAGGTAAATGTTGCCTGAGTTCATTCTGTTTTCAAGTTTGTTTTTTGGAGTGCATGTGTGGAGGTGTATGTATGAGTATGTGTGTCAGGGCAGCTGTGAGAGCTCTGGCTGAGAGGTTGGAGAGGTTAGGACGTTTCGTGACTGGAGGCTCCGGCTGCAGACAGAAACATTTAGCAACGCTTCTTTAGCTTTCCTCTGGAGTCTGAGGCCTGGGATATACTGTGTACAGCATGCTGAGAACTGTAAAATGTGACCTACTGTACAATATACCAAGTAAGGGATGTTAAAAGTGTCTGGGATGCAATTTGTTCTAGGCAAAATGCAGGGATGTAAGTATGATGTTGGTGATTTTTGTGTAGAAGGTACATTTTAATTGAACAATGCAAAGACAAACACTTAATAATGATAATAATGAAACAAAGGTTTTAGTCATTGGTGTCTAAGTGTGTTCTACTGGATGTAACAGGAAGAAACACCCCCACTTAACCTAAAACTTACACTACGCCCAACCTGAAGAGAAACAGAAAGAGAGAGAGAACAAAAAGTAAAGAGAAAGAAAAGTAGGGCATTCCAGCTAAACACTTGAGGGAGGCTGATCTGTTCAGATGGAGAGATTTGAGTTGTGGAGCCAGGCTTGTTTATTTTTTCTTGGCTTCTGGTTTCCTAATACAGCACCATCTGAGCTTGGCTGCTAACAGGGGTGCAGGGATGGAGCAGAGTTAACCTCAAGTGGATCAGGGGATTTAAGATCAGTATCATTAAATTACCGATAATGAAGGTGGTGACCTTTGTCTTCTTCCAGTCCACTGCATAATCCTGTTTACGTGGGGGTCGTGAGATCATATATTCAGAAAATACATTGTAGTTTGTTAAAGTCTCAGAGAATACAAGTCCCTTTCACAAGGTCGTGTTTGGGGAAAGCATCCAACCCTAACCACATCCTTTATCAAATATACCCTGTGGACATGAGTCACTTCAGTCACAACCTTGCCATGATAGCAAAAGCTTTGAACACTAATAACATCAATCTGCTACACCTCCATATCACCAACTCACAATTATCTTCAAATGTTTTCACTTATGTCCCGGCCTGTTGGTGGGATCTGTGGAAAATATTCTGTTCACTACAAAGCCACATCTGTGAATGCTGTAAACGACCATGAGAGAGAGGACAGTGCTGAGCGCACACACACACACACACACACCACACACACACACACCACACACACACACACACCACACCAACACACAACCCTTTAGAGCTAAAAAGAGCCAAAGCTTGAGGAAAAAGGCAAAAATGAGGGAATGGCAAAAAGGCTAGAGAAAGCAATTCGTGAGGTGTTCTTTCTTTGTCGGTTACAGTAATAAATCATAATATCAATACCTCCCAAAGAGTTCAGCATGAAAAAAAAAAAGGAAAGCTAAAAAGATAAAGAGAAGGAGGGAGCAGCTGTCTGAGAAATATCCAGAACATTCCGTGCTGGAGCCGAAGTGCTTGGCCCTCGGGTTCACCTGAAACTCGGGTGCATGGGGGACAGAGGCCTGGGAGAAAGCTTTAAATGGGTCATTACAACCAATCCACACATAAACCAACCATTCGCCTAAACCTCACACTGGGCTATAAATTACAACAGAATTTCTGTTTGATGTCTTTCCTATTTAAAGGTTTTAAAACTCCCAGGACAAGCCAATAAATAGTGGTCAGGTAGTGCATAGTAGACTGTCAGAGCCAGTTAACCACTGCCCTCCCCCAGCCTCTCTGTCACACACTATGTTGTAACACAGCAGGAGATTGATAGCTCACTCAGCCAGCACCAGCCAACTGTGTTTTGTGGACGATGGGCATGCAGCCAATTGTATCTCACTATTTGACCTGAGGCTGTATGTGTGTGTGGACCCTTCACAGACGCAGATGTGTAGCTGACAACTCAGGTGATCTTATCAGTAAAAACACACAGGAGCAGACACAGATAAGACACACACACACACACAGGCTTGTCCCGAAACCGAATGCTCTTTCACAGTGCTGACCACACGCAGTTAAATCCAACCACAGCAGACCAAGCCGGACACATTATGTTCTTAAAACTCAAACCTACATTACCAGCTACAAGGCTGCCTGTAGCATTATTGGAATTCTCTGAAGAATAGGGGTGGGGGAAAAAATAAGAGCTGTAGCAAAATTCGAAGGAAAGCCTTTAGCTGCAGAGTGAAGCTCATTTAGAATCCCCCTAATGAGAGCTTGGATACAGTTGAACGGACAGGTCACCAAAGGGAGGAAGAGGTCAGCCAGGAGGTCGGGACAAACAGACAAGAGAAGTGGAGGCATGCAACTAAGTGGAGCCGGTGGGCAATGAGTGTGCGTAATGCCGTGTGTGGGAATTTATGAGCTCTTCCTTGCTGATTCAACTAATAGAAAGCATGTGCAGTCGGAGGTATGAGCTTAAGGTGAGGTGTGACTCAGAGGAGAAGTAAAACCAAGAAAAGAGTATGAGTGGCTACGAGTAATCTCCTAAAAAAAAAAAAAATTTACACCATCCAGCCAAACAAACATTTATATAAAGGCTGTAACATTTTACGCACCCTCCTCCTGGCTCTCCTCTCTCCCCTGACCCTCCTCCAGCTCTTTTCTAATGCTTGAAACTGTAGCAGCAGCATGTATTCGTTCAAAGCCAAGTGTCACTTTACGAGTTTAATTTAATCAGAGAGAAAACCCACCTGAAAGTAAAAGCTAATCTGTCAGCCTGGGTAATAAATTCCTGGGGTAGGAACTAGCTTAAGATGATGTCAACTGCAGGGATTTTGTTATGCAATAATTATTATACTGCCCACACATATCATTGTGAGTGCGCGTACAAGGAGAGTTGTGTTGGGGGCGGTGGGGTGTTTGTGGAGGATGAGTGTTGCAGAGAGATGGAGTGATGGAGGCCAGGGTTGGAGAGTTGACAGTCCTTATCTTGACAAATGATGACAGATGGAGAGGTACAGGCTCATGTGAGCTCTGTCCCCTGGATACCCCGAACATAAGAATGGCGTGTTTGTGCATTTATGTGTGTGTTGTGCAAAAAGGACGAAGAGGGGGAACCCGTTTTCCACAAAGACCAATTGATTACAGGGGTTGTGGAGCGGACGGGTGGGGGGGGTGTTAGGGGTGAGGTAGAGGAAGGGTGGGGCTACACCCTAATCCCACATATAGACCTCTGACCCCAACATCAGCCCACATGTTTAGAGTTTCACTACAGAAGAAGGAAAACAGATGGGGGCCAGGGGCCTCGGGGAGTTTTTGGGGGCACCCTCCTCAGTAATATAGCATCATGAAGGTAGACAACTCAGTAGCTGGAAAGCAAGAGGCAGGAACCCCTTCTGGGTTTTTTTTTTTTTATTGGGTTGGTTGTATTCCAACCACAGGCTAATGTCTTCCTAAACAGAACCACTTAATCTAACACGTCTTCGTTTTTCCACCTCATCCTTCAGTTTTTTAACTCTACGGGAGGCTCCAGTCCCAATTACTAGCTTAAGTTATAAATGTAGAGAAAATCCTATTCTAGCTCTTTCGATCTGCCCTGATTTCCCTTTTAATATTTCCAGCATGCACTGTTTAATGAGGACATATAAACCACCATTAATACTGAACCACAATGTATTTCCCATTCCACTGTGGTAGCAGTATTTAATCTTCGTGAGGGTCCTTTCATTTTGTTGATGAGGCTTTTACGAGTTTTTCCCTTGTTGTTGTTAGTGGTGTTTTAAAGTGTGTCGATTTGCACTGTTGTTTTTGTTTTCATTAATTGTTTCATGGGAGTTCTTTTACTACTTCCCCCACTCATGTGGTGTTCACCTCTCCAGCCTCCTGTCCTTGATAACCTCACATCTTTGCTATTTCGCTCTCATTTCCCCGCAGCTCAGTAACCAATTGTTTAAGCAAGCAACAAAGAATGAGTCAATTTGCGTCTATTGTGGACAGAGTGTATTAGTGGTCATGTAACTTAGCTACGTTGACAAAGAACGGTGGCCGGTGACATCATGTGTGGATGAGATGCTGGGAGGAAGTCGGTCTCTGGCTGAGTACCAACAGTACGGCTGGCTGAGCTCCATGTTGTCATGTAAAGCATTGCTGCTGTTTATTGTTGCTCCAAATCCAAACCCTCATCTCTCTTTCCCCATCCTCCTTTTTGTTTTCTCTCTTCTCTCTTTCTTCTGACCAGTGATGATGTGTTGTGTGTTTTGGGGCATTTTGGACTTGTTGTGGGAAAGTCTGAGGACCAGATGGGGGAGTGGAAGCTGGGGCTTTTGAGGCTTGGAAATACATTGGCTATGAAATATATAAATACATTTAGGCCAACTCTTTCTCCCCCGCTTGTTGAACTGCAATCAATCAGGCTGCAGACTGACACATCAAAATTGGTAAATCACCGCAGGAGACGCACTGAGACAAGGAGCTCTGCAGCCCACGCAGTGAAACAGTCAAAAGATACCTCTGGCGGGATGACAGACTGATACATGCAAGAACAGCCCAGTGCACTCTACCAAATGTACCAGCAGATGACCACAACAGATTCTCCTCGCTTGTATTCATTTAGTGTGAGCACAAAGCATCAGGAAAGATGGAAACCATCGAGTTTGATTGTCTGACTTTCTTGTAAGACTATTAAATGTGATGTACACAACAAATCCTCCCGTCCTGTATAATGTTTAGAGGTGATGTATCAACAGTATGGCCATTTGAGGAGGTACTCGTGGTGTATGAGTGTATGTTACAGGTACAATAAATAGTGCTTGATATTGTATGATGGTGACTTCAATGGGATCCATCCCAAAGAGTACAAACCTGCAGTGAGCCAATTTTCCATGGAAGTAGTTTATACCAATTGTTTATTAAGCAGTTTGCTTTGGCTCAGCTCACAAAATGATGCCTGTGTTCTCGGAGCCAATACATACAGAGCAACCTGAAGCCACAAGTGTGACATATGGCCATCTTTCTGAGGTAACAACCAACATTAATTATGCTGTTTAACCAACGAGGCAAAACAAATTCTTCCTGTCTAGCAGTAACGTAAGCAGCTTAATGAGTTCTCTGGTCATTTCCTCTCTGACGACATGCAGAAAAGAATTATTTGTCTCCTACTCAAGCACAAAGCCAATCGCCATTCATGTACAACATCAGCTCCTACACAGAAAACCAAGGTAGAAGAAAGCCGGTGTCCTCTCACACACACACCTCCAGAGTGAGTGTGGGGTGATTAAAGCAAGCCAAACCGTATCTGAAATTGTTAGTCAGCTGTGGGCTTTCATTAAGTCAATCAACAACACTGATCACAGTAAAATCAAAGCCAGGGACATAGCTTTGCACCGCACCACTGTACTTTTAATGTCTGCCTGTGTATAACTGAAAAATATGGACATGTGTGTGCATTTGTATGTGGCATAAGGTGTCAGCACGGCACTAAGCTTTTTAATTATCATTAGATAAATAAAGCAAAGCCTCAGGTCTGAGAAAGCCAACTTTACTGTTTAATTCAAAGAGCTGTAGAACTGTAATGATGCAACAAACAGCGTGAACAACAACAACCACAGTATGGAGTACAGACCTACAGATGCACATATGACACTTTGATTTCAGAAGATGACAGAGCTAGTTTGATGGGCTTAAACCGTAACATGATTGTGTATTGCTCAATTGAAAATGATTCCCAGTTGGATAAAAGAGTGTGTGGTAAAAAGAGCAAAGAAACTCAGTTACATATAAATATTGTCTGTCCTGTTACAATAACAGCCATGAAAATAAATCAAACCGTAGCTCAGACAGAGAGAGGCAGAGAGACAGACAGTGGGAGTGAGGACAATTAAAAAGCCACTGTCATATGTCTTCTGACTATTAATAACTATTAGCGGGGTGAGGACCCAGCAGTGCACTTGGGAAGACTTATGAAGCTCATACTGTTGCCAAAATATAAGGCAGGCGGAGTTAGAGGCCTGCTGCAAATCCTTTCTACCACACAGTGGTTTCACACGGTTGTTACTGAATACAAGAGCTGTTTGTCGGTAGGGCTGAGCCGACAAGAAATTTAATAAATCCTATTTATATTAAGGGGAAAATGTGTTTCAATTTCTCCTGATTGCTTGTAGTTATGACTTTCATGTCTCTGCAATCTGCTGCTTAAGTGATTTAGCTGTAACCAAAAGACCTGGAGAGAAAGTAAAGAGGAAAGAAAGTATTCAAAAGCGGAAGAAAAGGAAAGTTAGGAGGAGGGGATTTACGCAGAGAGGAAATTAATTAAATAGAAAGAAAAAGGCAGCGTAAAGAGTGCAAATTTCTCAAGGCTAAAAAAAGGAATATGAGTATTTCATCTTGCTCAAGTTATGTCCATGATGCATGGTCAGGAAGGGAAAGAGGGCCATGACCCACTTTCTACCACTTTCTTAGTCCCCTCCATCTTTAACCCACTACTGTCTGTGCTTTGGTTCAGCCTTACAATGCAATTCCAGCTATATAATACCCAAGAATAAGATACATGATGTGAGGGAACATTGCTCATACATAACAGACATGTGAACTTTTGTCTTTGTCTAGCATATTGACACCAAACTTGTATTAACTTTGTTATAAAAATTCACACATAGATTTCCCAGTGCTTCCATTGTAAGCTAAACCCGTACTGAGCAGAAGTATTGAGTCAGGTTTTAATGCAGCCTGTTGAGAAACATCCACGTGGTTTCTAGTCAGGCATGCCTGGACTTTTATTAGTTGTTGCTTCTTTTGTTGTTGAATCTGAAAAGTGCCAGATGTGAGCTACTGTTGGCATAATGGCCCCCTTCCATCACTGCAGAACCAACATATTCAAGTAGGGCAGCTGCACTGATCGGTACCAAACGTGATATATTAAAACTGCTGCTCTCAGCTTGCATAAAGAAATACAAATTTCCAGTCTGTAAAACAAAAACACAATGTATTGGTGTAATGACTGCATCCACAGTGTGTGAAGACACATTTGCATTTATAAAAGGTGAACACTTTGTTTTCCACCCAATAGCAAAGCAAGCCCCCAAGCACTTGAGCAGTGTTTAGTTTTGGTAGAAAAAAGAAGCCACTCTGCTTGTTCTGAGGAAACACTTTAAACTTGGTACCCTCACAACACACTGGTGACCTCTCAATGTTTCCTGGAATGTCTTTGATATGTTGTGATTCCATGAAAGAGATTAGGCCCCTCGTACTCAGAACCACCACCCAAGAGGAAATCAAGCTCCAGAAGACAGAGAGGAGAGGGAAATAAAGAAGGGCAGAGAATGAAAACGGGAATGTCAAGAAAGAGATGGGAAATGAGGGAGGTGATAACTGATGGATGATTCGTAGTGTTGCCTTCCCTGTTCATGCTTAGGGGGCATGTAGATGGCTGTAGATGATGGCGAATAAGGACACTATGGCGCTCACAGCAACGGTATAAAAGCCAGACATAGTTTGGAAGAGAAGACACTTCAGAACTGATACTGCTGATGCTGCTGTTAAAGTCATTAGCAGCTCTCACTGAGGTCAGCAAGGATACAGTACCTGGTTACGCTGTCAGACACACCGGCTGCTGGAAAAACACACGACCATGAAAATGAATAACGTCTCTGGATAGTCATGCACACATGGTACTCAATCATACAGATGGACACACACAAGCTTATGCATACCAGCAAGAGTACGCGCACACACTAGAGATCTGCAGTGCTAGCTGTAATAATGTCCCCTCTCGACACTGCTCCAAGTGACAGAATTGCCAGAATTCCTAAAGAACCACAATGGCGTCATATGGGAGACACACAGGGCCTGAGTTTTAGGGTGGGGGTAGGACTTAACGATGTGGCACTGAGTAAAGACTGACTGAAGAGTGATGGAGTGGATTAGGAAGACTAGACAGTCTTGGCCTTGCGAAGGCCCGGGCCAGGGTGTTAAATGAAGCAGTGTATACGTCTGTGTGTGAGTGTTTTTGTGCTTGTGCACTGATGAGAAACAGAGCTAGAATCAGCAGGGATGAGAAAGAGGCAAGGGAACGCCAGCAGTCGCCCCTCAAATTAGACAGGGCTGAAGACAACTCTGCATAAACTGTTTTCCTGCCTTCGTCTCACACCCCTGTAGTGCCTGTGTATTTGTAAAATCTTTCAAGTGAAACGCAAACACTACCTCCTACTAAACATTCCTGAAGGATGTATGGAGCCACGTGGAGCAGTGAGCATATTTAACTTGTCTCACAGGAAGCAGCATTGGAATTGGGGGTCAATGTATTTTACAGTGCAAGCAGGCAACTGTTGTAGGGGACAATAAGGTCAGATCTCTGAGCAGGAAGGCCTTTTTGACCAAATACTTAAAAAACAAAAGGACATAAAAAGGAATCAGATGCTAAGAGGTCCTTAAACAATTTCAGTTTGCATCTCCATTGCATCCAAACAAGAGGTAAAGATTAGAATAATCACAAATTAAAAGTAATGACGGTTTGTTATGTAATTTTGCATGTTGATAGTGCTGCTTGAAACAATATTGAAGGAGATGCAAAAGTAGAGAGGGAGACTGAATACAACAGTGAAGTAGTATGCCCATATCAAAACGGTGGTGAAGAGAGTGCATTTTATTTATTTAGTTTTGGTGTGTAATTGCATTGAAAAAATGAGGAAGTAATATCAAGCTACTCCCTTTTAATTACGCTCATTTTAGACCAGCCCAGAAGACTCTGAAGCTGTGGCTGTATAGGGCTCAGAAATTACAGTATGACCAAGAAACCTAAACTGGAACAAGATTCCTGTGGCCAACGTGCTCAATAGTTGCTGGTTTTC